CTTCAGCTTCAGAATATGACCTTCCAGTGAATAGCCTGAATTATTTTCTTCAAGTATTGACTGATTTGGCCTCCTTGCTGTCTAAGAGACTCTTAAAAGTCTTCTCCAGCACCACAATTCAACAACATTGATTCTGTGGTGCTCAGCTTTTCTTATAGTCCAACTCTCACAGCCATACATTGCTACTGGAAAAACCATAGCTTTGACTACATAGACCTTTGTCAGCAAGGTGCTGTCTCTGCCTTTTTAGTATCCTGTCTAGATTTGCCATAGCTTTCCTTCCAAGGAGCAAGTATCTTTTAATTTCATGGCTGTAGTCACCATCTGCAGTGATCTTTGAGCCCAAGAATATAAAATCTGACACTGCTTCCGTTTCTTCTCTCTCTATTTGCCAGAAAGTGATAGGACCAGTTGCCATGATCTTAGTTGCTTGTTTTATTTTTTATGTTAAGCTTCAGGCTGGTTTTTACACTCTCTTCTTTCATTCTCATCAACAGCCTTCTTAATTACTCTTCACTTTCTGCCATCAGAGTGGTATCAGCAACCTTAATTCTAGTTTTTGATTCGTCCAGCCTGGCATGTTACATGATGTATTCTGCATATAAGTTAAATAAGACGACAATATACAGCTTTGTCGTACTCCTTTTCTGATCTTAAGCCAATCAGTTGTTCCATGTTTGATTTTAACTTGCTTCTTGGCCTGAGTATAGGTTCCTCAGGAGACAAATAAGATGATCTGGTACTCCCATCTCTTTGAGGCTTGCCACATTGGGTTGTAATCCACACAGTCAAAGGCTTTAATGAAGTCAATGAAATGGAAGTAGATGTTTTTTCTGGAATTCCTTTGCTTTCTCCATAATCCAGTGAATGTTGGCAATTTGGTCTCTAGTTCCTCTGCTTCTTGGAAAACCAGCTTGTTCTGGTAATTCTAGGTTCACATATTGCTGAAGCCTAGCTTGCAGAATCTTAATTAAGCATAACCTTGCTGGCATGTGAAATGACCACAATTGTTTGGTAATTTGAACACTCCTTGGCATTGCCCTTCTTTATGACTGGGACATAAACTGATCTTTCCCAATCCAGTGGCCAGTGCCGAGTTTTCCAAATTTGCTGGCACAGTGAGTGCAGCACTTTAACAGCATCATCTTACTAAAAGCTAATTAAGTCTGACTCACATATTAACTGATGACCATGGAAACAATCATAACTGGTGGGGATTTGTGAATTCCAGCATTAGAAAAGATACTCCCAGATCTCCTTGGGGTTACCCCTAAACCCTAAAGAGAGTGGAGTTGGGATTAACAAGTCTGAATGAGCCTCTATGGGCAATGCAAGGAAACCTGAATCTAGAGATCTCCTGTAAAGTTACTGAGACTTCAAAGAGTTGGTACTCATTGCTTGGGTTTTGGGGAGGATGAATTTTCTGCCTTCATCTTCAACCTGTGGTTGACCAGTGCTGAAAGGACTTGCTATCTCAAAATGACATGGCAAACTTGAAGTGATTCCTGTGTCTTTCTGACCCCAAAACAGTGGCAATGAAGTGGGGTTGTGCTTCTTTTAAAGAAGAAACAGCTTCCAGACTAGTCTGTCTGTCCAGCTGGCAAGGCTCTCCAGTGAGGGTTGGTGAAGGATAAATAAAGATAAAGCATTCTCTGTCTCTCTCTCTCAACTCATCATGTGGCACCTAATGGCTAAGGGCTATAATTAAATGTATAAGCATACATGGGTTCTTGGAAGCCCTTGCCTCTTATGTTTTCTTACAACTAGGGGGCCTCCATTCAGCCACTAAAGTGATTTTCCTAAAATACAGGTCCGAGCATGTCATAATGCCCTTCTACTTAATAGACTCCAGTGGCTCCTTATTGTTCCCAGGAGCAAATACAATATGTTCTGTTGGCTTTCGAGGCTCTTCATAACACAGCTCCCTCCTTCTTTCCAGTCTTCTTACACCTTACTCCTGGACATATACTCTTCAATCGAGTGACACTGGCCTCCTGGCTGTTCCATGAACAAGATACTCCATCGCTTGGATCAGGGCATTCTCTCTGGCTGTCCCCCATGCCTGGAGTTCTCTTCTTCTTCTGCTCTGGACTGCTGACCTCTCTGGTTTCCTTTAAGTCCCATCCACTTTCTACAGAGAGCTTTCCCCCACCCCTCTTAACGCCAAGGCCTTCACTCATAATTATTTCCTATTTATCCTAAATATAGCTTGCTGTGTTTGTATGTTTTTTCCTCTATTAGACTGTAAGCTCCTTGAGGGCAAGGACTATGTTTTGCCTCATTTTTTATCCCCAGCACTTTATATACTTTATACAGTGCCTGGTGCATAGAAGGTGCTTAATAAATTTTTATTGACTGATTGACTGATTGGCCTTGTGAGTTTGAAAAGACTAGAAACTTCGGTGACCCTGGAGCAACAGTGGCTGACAGTAGGAGAAGCTTCTGCATTGGAATGGACAGCCATAGATCAGAGAGTTATCCCAAGCCTGGCCTGGATTTCACCCACAGCATATAGCAAGTGTTGTTTGGACATATTTCAGGCAAGCTGAAATGTAAATTGCCTAATTGGCAGTTTTATAAAATTGCTTTATGTTGTGATATGGCTTAAATGTTAACTTTCCAACTCATCCTTTAAGGGTAAGTTACTGAATCCTCTTAATTTGTGCCCTGATCCTTCCATGCTTAGCATGTTTTTCTATATAGGAATAAATTACCTGTCCCATACCTGATTCCTAGTGCATGTTGAATACCTTCTTCTATTTCCCTCTTTTGAAGGAAATCCTCAATTTGAGCCATAATTTTTACTATAATTAGCATCATTCCTAGGACATGAAGGAGGGAACTTGTTAGTGAACTAAGGAATATGAGAAAAAGTCTCTTCCCCTCATGATAGAGAACAGCTAGGTGGCGCAGTGGATAGAGCAGCTGCCCTGGAGTCAGGAGGACCTGAGTTCAAATCTGACCTTATACACTCTAGCTGTGTGACCCTTGGCAAGTCACTTGACCTTGATTGCCTAAAAAAACCCTAGTCCACAAACCAAAATAGCTGGATATAGGACAAGAGGGCAACCCCCAGCTACTGTGGACTAAGGCCAGTGGTTTGATTGGCACTCATAGAAGAAAGACAACAAGGTAAAGTAAAAAGAACACTGAATCTAGAGTCAGAGAACCTGGATTCAAATGCTCTCTCTCTCTGCTGCTTGCTTGTTATCTGGGTGACCTTGGGAATGTCCAGCCTCTCTTGGCCTGAGTTTCCTCAGCTATAAACTGAATTAGAGAGGGGTGAACTAAATGGCTTCTGGGATTTCTTCTAGCTGTAGAATTATGTTCCTAAGTAGAACTAGAGATGCCTCAGCCAGCTGAGAGAGGACAAAAAGTAGATTTTGAAGCAAAAGACAAGAACCCACCAGTAGGGGGCGGCACATAATGGCAGCTAGGTGCCACAATGGATAGAACGACAGGCGTAGTTTTAAGACTCATCCTTCTGAGTTCAAATCTGGCCTTAGACACTTCCTAGCTGTGTGTGACCCTGGGCAGGTCCCTTAACCCTGTTTGCCTCAGTTTCCTCATCTGTAGAAATTAGCTAGAGAATGAAATGGCAAACCACTCCAATGTCTTTGCCAAGAAAGCCCCAAACGGGTTAGACGACTGAACAACAACATGAACAAAGGGGCAGCACATCAGGGCTCATAGTAGGGAAGCGTTAAGGAGCAGAACACATCAGAAGAGGAAGGATGCTGGAAGAAGGCCCACCTCCATCACGGAAGCTATCGATGCCTAGAGAGGGACCATTGTGAACGAAGAAGTTTATTATCCTGAGATAGTGACGCTAGGGGAATGAACATGCCTAAGTAAAAAATAAAATAGGAGATTGAAGGCTTGTAGGTTACTATGGCCTTCCCATTACAGCCTGTTTATCATTTTTTCCTTTTAATAAAACATTCGTCTCATACATTGTGGCCAATGTACTAATAAGTGGCAAAGGGAGTGCCAATCCATTGGGCCCAACTGATGACTTTTTCTAGGCTTTTAGAACTCATATCAAAAAAAAAATCAATGACTCCCTTATAAAGTTACTGAACTTGCTGCAAAAGGAGCATTGCACACATAATCGTTTGTAAAGATCACATAGAGAATTTCAGAGTTGGAAAGAAACACAACCTATATATGAATAAAAGAGTGGAGATTGAATCTTATTTATCTCTGGGTCTTCCTCAGTCTAACCCAGCACTCTGTGTACAGTAAGTATTCAATAATATTTGTTTGAATGAATAGATGTCTACATGCAGTTGCCTGGGTGTCTAGGAATACAACCTATACTTTTCTGGTCTGGTCTAATCGCACAAAAAAAATCAGAGAAACATAGTGGAACTGCTTCAGATTTACCAGGTTCAGGTTCACGAAGCCAAGAGCACAACACAACAACCATCTTCTATGTTACCCTTCCTGGTGGGATTAAATTCACCAGTTTCCATTAATACAACAACTTTTAAAAACTCTAAACTTAATGTAAGTGGTTAGTGGATCTTCGACCAGTTGATTCCCCCCAATCCTATACCTAGGTGTACATAATAAAAGATACTGAGGTATTGATGCATTAAAGTGTCAACACTATCAACATCTTTCTCTGATTGAATTGGAAGGGACAATCCTATTGTCGATAACAATAATAATAATAATAATTAACATTTATATAGTGCTTACTCTATGCAGGCACTGTAATAAGCCTTTTAGAATTATTATCTCATTGGATCCTCACAACCCTGAGAGGTAGATCCTATTGTTGTCCCCATTTTTATAAGTGAAGAAACTGAGGCAGGTGGAGGTTAAATGATTTGCCCAGGGTCACCAGGAGGACCAGCACCTCTGGTGTGAGGGCCTACATAGCCTTTTTCAGGACTGCTCAGCCACCTTTCACCTAACTCTCACCTATAGCATGGACAGCAGCCATACCCTAATAAATCATCATGGCAAAAATAGGTTGAGGGTAACCAACCGACCTCAAACCCCTCAGTGAGTTGGGGGGTACCCCAAGCACGCGAAGACTTCTCCTGGTGGAATGGGCAAATGAGAACAATTTGTTCTAACAGCCATGAAGGCTGCCAAAGCAGGAATTGTGGAGCGCTCAGAGCTTGGTTCAGACATGGAAGATGCCAAGGTCATCCTCTGCATTCTAGGCCATTGCCAGTTGTCCTGATTTTTGTCCTGTCACTGGAGTTTGATGACTCTGGAAGAGAAAGTGAAGCTAATGACTTTGTGCAGCTCTATCTCACTTAAATCCAATTCACAAGCAAGTCAAGACGCTGCCTGTGAGGTCACTGGTCCTCTTCGAAAACAAAGGACAAGGGGCAGCTAGGTAGTGCAGGGGATAGAGCATGAACCTTGGAGTCAGGAGGACTTAAGTTCAGATCCGGCCTCAGACACATAACACTCACTAGCTGTGTGACTCTGGGCAAGTCACTTAACCCCAACTGCCTCACCAAAAAAGAAATAACACACAAAGCACGAACGAGTATCTGAGGATGGATTTGAATTCAGGTCTTCCTGACTTCAGGCCTAACATTCTATTCACTGTATCATCTAGCTGCCTCCTAAAAAGAAAGCTGAAAAGGGAGTAGGGAGGGTGAGGAAAATACTGTTGAGGTCAAGGTACCACTGGATCAGAGGTATCAAATACACTTGCAGCCTACAACAGTCCCAAATGTGGCCTGACCTAAATCAAAACGCAATTGGGAAATATTTAACAAAATAAACAAAAATGCAATAAAACACAGATAATACTAATGTGCAGTTTTCTAAGCTTTTTCATATTACCCACAGGGACCTTTATGTGCAACGTGGTGATGGGGGCAAGTTTTCTGTCTTTTAATATGGAATCTTTGGAAGCAGAAGCCCCAGGAGTCAGTCATAAGCCATGGATTGATTGCTCTATTCATTCTTTTAAATTTCCTCTTTCACATCTACCCCTCAGTTTCTGCTTTGTGATCGTTAGTGGGGTCTAGAGAATATATTCAAGAGTCTTTTTGTTGGCTTAAAATGAAGGCCCAGAACAAACTCTGCAGAGTTATATTTTGATCTGAGGGCTTGTACGATGGGGCCCTGTGGGTGTTTCAGACACATGGTTTGACTTGAGAAAAGAATCCAATGAATGAAAGTTTAAGAGAGTTGTTAAGTAGCTTGAAATATGCTCCCCCTTGGAGTGTCCTGTGACTGTACCAAATATGAGAAGAGGAAATCCCTAAAGCACTGACTCTATTGCTTTTGCAGATAGAAATGCTACTTCCAAATGCATAATGCTCTTAGCCTTCTTATGCACATGAGATTTATTTAATGTTATATGCGCAAAGTGAATTTTTCACTGAAGCCTTCATACTCGAATCTCAGAATAAAAAACCTGCTTTACACGGATACAAACCTTTGTCCCAGACAATGGTAGTAACAAATCAGAAAGTATAACTGATACTTCAATAATAAGAATTTAAAGACTTCAGGGACAAAAATATCCAAAGTTGTCAAGCCTGGCTGGATTACCTACTCTGCTAAAGGGGAAGTATCAGGAACAGGCTTGGCCTCAACTCGAGAGCAATGGTTTAGACATATGCTTGGTAACATTGTCCAAGCTAAAGCTTAGGATATGGTTGATGCCATGTATAAGTTCATATCACCTAAGCACCCTTCCCCCCCACATATACACACACACACACATCCCAAGTTGTACAACAGATCTCCAATACGTTTTTCCCAAAAGAAGTTCTTAGTGTTTTTCTAGTACGATTGGCTTCAACTGTATTTAGGGCTACTTAAAACACAAATACAGTAAGAAGCAACTGGTCAAAATCGTAAAACAAAAAGTTAACAATTATTTTTACATGTAATTGGGAAAAATAAACTATTAAAATTTTGAAAAATAAAAATAAGAAGCACCTGGCTTCTCTAAGAAAATCCTAGCTAAGCTGTTCAATGACAGCAACCTTATAGGTTAGAAACGCATTTGTAGGCTAGACTGGGAACCTAGCTACCCTTCATTCATTCATTCATTCAAAAAAATATATATTGACAATCTACTAAGTTCTAGGTCCTGAGACAAAGACATAATCTAGTACTCCTAAAATTTTCCAACTTTGTCTAGATCTTTCCTTTGGGCTCATTACAATCTACTTTGCATTATACTTACTTGTATGTGTAGATACATAAGTAGACATGTATGTGTATATATAAATGTACGCACACATATACATGCATAATTACTTCATCCCCTCTTTTAGTGTATAAACTCTTTAAGGATAGGGACTATGCCTTCCACATGGCTGACACCTAATGAGCAGAACAACTAATAAATTCTTGATGTGTCTTAATGATTATTTCATCCTACAAATGTGAATGAATGAATGAAGGGTGATGAATTCTTTGACTTTAGCAGGCCTTGAAACAAAGAAAATAAACAAAATGACCTTCTGTATAACAGATAACCCATTGCAATGTCAGAACAAAAGCAGGAAGCTATGCCTCTCCCCCTCATTGGGCAGACCAAATGGTGGCAAGCTTGTTGGAGGATATGAGCAAATTCTACAGGATAGGCAAGCATGGATGAGACGGATGAGATGGGTAGGGGTCTGCATCACTGAAGGAGACCCACATTGACAAGATGACATACTTATTTTAGTACTGAGACTACACGGGGACAAAATCTTCCCACCAGTACTATTCAGAAGTAGAATGGGCTGCCTTGGGAGATAAAGGGCTTCTCCCCTTATTGGATATCTTCAACTAAAAGTTAGACAACCATTTGGCAGGCTGTAGTAGAGGAGACACTTGTTCTAGTATGACTTAGACCACACAGCCTCTGAGGTCTCTTCATTTATTTATTTATTTGGTTGGTTGGTTGGTTCTGGTGAGGCAGGCAAAGTTAAGTGATTTGCCCAAGGTCACACAGCCAGTGAGTATGTGAAACCGGATTTGAACTCAGGTCCTCCTGACTCCAAGGCCAGTGTAGCTGCCTCTGAAGTCTCTTTCAACTCTGAGATGCTATAAATGGTTTAAATTACAGCGCAGCTATACACTTACTTAGCATTTTTTTCCTTTTTTATTAACAGTAACTACCTGATTTTTAAAAATATATAGCCTTTGAGGCCAAGAGATTTCATGCCAATATGTAGGCCTAATATGAAAATTTGAACCAGAGAGATCAACCATCTACCAAAAATTTCACATGAATCTCAGATTAAGAGATTCCTGAGCAAGGTCTTTTTACCTCCCTAGGGCAGTTTCCTCATCTTTAAAATGACTCCTACGTTTCCTTTCTACTCTAAATACTGTAATTCTCATTTTGAATAGAAATGTTCTTCCACCACTGACCATGGTTTAGGTAAGATCTTTATTTGGTGGATAAGAGACATAGAGGGGAGGCTAGAGATTATGTCTCCCCTAGGCTACTCAGATTAGGAAGGCGAAGGTAGGGGCCAGAGCATCCACTCAATAAGCATCTATTAAACGCCCTCCGTATACCAGCTAAGTGCTGGACATACAAAGAAAGGCAAGAGACAGCCCTTGAGGAGCTTATAGTCTAATGGAGGAAACAACATGCAAACAATTATGTGCAAACAAGCTATAAACAGGATCAGATCAAATTGTTCGTGGGAGTGTATACAAACACACAGAGGAAGGGAATCCCAAAAATTGGGCCTCTGGCTATTAAATTTCTGGTTAGAACCAAACATGGGTTGTGGTTGTGGTGGTGGCGGTTGTGGTGGTTGTAGTTGAGTCGTGTCCAACTCTGTGACCCCACTGTGGGGGTTTTTTGGCAAAGATACTGGAGTAATTTGCCATTTCCTTTTCCAGCTCATTTTACAGATGAGGAAACTGAGGCAAAACAGGGTTAAGTGACTTGCTCAGAGTCATACAGCTAATAAGTATCTCAGGCTGGATCTGAACTCAACCCAAGTTCAACATTTTCACACCATAAGGAAAATCATGACTATATCAATTCAAGCAAAAGGTCAAATCCTCAGAAGGAATGAGGCATCTTCTATGGGATCAATATAATCAGTCAATCAAGTATTAAGTGCATACTGTGTGCCAGGTACTATACTGGGGACACAGGTACAAAAATGAAGCAACCCCTACATGAGAGGAACTCGTATATTGGTAAAGACTTCCACTCTAAGCAGTAGGACCAGCAATTTCTGTTTTTCTTTGCCTAGTAATCCACTTGTTCGATTTTGTCAAAAGCAGGAAATGGAAGGTAAGTGGGTTGAGCAGCATTTCTGAAAGTCTTAAGTTTTTACTTCAAAATACTGGCTAGGGTAGAATTTTTTTTCAGGTCTACTAACTAAAGTTAAGCGGAATAAAATGTATCATTTCAAACATCTCACAACATTTTTGGTGTGGAATGTTTAATGAACTTTCTTTAGTAGGATGAGGAATTTGGACATGTCTGTTAGGCTAGAGAAGGCGTAAGCTTCCAAACCTGGGCCTGAGCTGAGGATCTGTGTAAACTGATAACTTGGGTGAGTGAGAGATAAACATTATCCTTTTACTAGCAGATAAGCTTCTCCATGTTACACCACACCTGTTCTCCCCCTTATCTGCTCAATGGAAGAGGGGAAAAGTCAGTTTATGTGCATACCCTTTGATCCAGCAATACCAGTACTAGGTCTGTATCCCAAAGAGATCATTAAAAAGGGAAAAGGACCCTCACGTACCAAAGTATTTATAGCAGCTCTTTTTGTGGTGGCAAAGAATTGGAAATTGAGGGGATGCCTATCAATTGGGGAATGGCTGAACAATTTGTGGTATATGATTATAATGGAATACTATCATTCCATAAGAAATGATGAGCAGGTAGATTTCAGAAAAACCTGGAAAGACTTACATGAACAAATGCTGAGTGAAGTGAGCAGAACCAGAACACTGTACACAGTAAAACCTTTGTGCAATGATCAACTATGAGAGACTTAGCTCTTCTCAGTAATACAATGATCTAAGACAATTTCAAAAGATTCATGATGGTAAAAGCTGTCCACATCCAGAGAAAGAACTACGGAGTCTGAATGCTGATCGAAGTATGCTATTTTCACTTTTTTTTTTCTTTCTCATGGTTTTCCCTCTTTGTTCTGATTCTTCTTTCACAACATAACTAAAGTGAAAATTTGTTTAACATGATTGTACATGTATAACCTATATCAGATTGCTTGCTGTCTTAGGGAGGGGAAAGGGAGAAGATTTTTG